GGTGGAGTCAACCCAGTGGTGGTGGTGGCGGCTCAATCCATCTAATCTCGTCTTCTGCCTGCCTGGGCTGAAGGAAAATGAGAATGACAAATCACTTGTATTCCTTTCTTCTTCTGTTTGTTTCACTAACAACTTGTCTCACACTCTCCACTTCTCGCGCACTACTTTCACCACCATCATGGTAACCCAGAATTTCTCTCTCGGAGCGAGGCACCATATTTATTCAATGTGTGTTACTACTGTTACTTCACCGTGGTTTACACAGTGTGCGGAGGAGAAAAGAACATGAGCCAGATTCATGACGGAGAGAGATGTAATCCATTATTGTTATCCACGGTCGCGCCGAGCGAAGTTTGCACTTACGTATTTATGTACTTCGTAGAATAATACGATTCGGTATGCGCAGTGTGGAGAAAATATATTGCAATTCTGCAAATTTAAAGTGACTGCTGAAAACTGAAAACCTGTTCAGCCTACCCTATAACCGTATATATGTAGGATTTGTGTGTATCTTGATCTTGATGTGCAGAACCCCATCATGCCTTATTTGCTGTACCTCATACATACATACACCAAAATATCATTATCGATTAAGCACTTGGATGGAAAGAGAGGTAGGATATGCCCCGAATTTTGTAAGCTACCACTCACTCGATATTTTGATGTATACTGAGGTTGAGTGGGATTCTGGCCCGGACAAAAAGTCCTGTTTTGATGTGAATCGAGCGTGCACGCGCTCTTCCCTACTTTTTCACACTGATTCATGTGAAATTTTAAACTTTGTCCTAGAGATGCGAAATTTGGCATGCACATGCACCAACATATGCTGCATCATAATATAACATCAATTCCCGTTCCGTTCGCTATAAATTTTTCAGGAAAAATCAAAAACCAAATGTCACCCCTATTCAATTTGGTTTTTGATTTTTCTTGAAAAATTTATAGCGAACGGAACGGGAATTGATGCTGTATTATGATGTAGCATATTTTGGTGCATGTGCATGCCAAATTTCGCATCTCTAGGACAAAGTTTAAAATTTCACATGAATCAGTGCAAAAGTAGGGAAGAGCGCGTGCACGCTCGATTCACATCAAAACAGGACTTTTTGTCCGGGCCAGAATCCCACTCAACATCAGTAGTTTAGTGTCGAACGGTGTTAAAATTAAATTTTGTTTTGCACTTATCGAGTTGGCCATTGTGTCGGCGTGTACATGCATCATCGTTGATAAAACTTGCCCCTTCAAGCTGAATAAGAAAATGTTGGGATTTATGAAACTAATTTTGTGACTACTCTGGTGTAAAGGCACACATATTGATTTTCCAGAATATGCACCTCCTCTGACAAACTTCCTCCTCATACAAACGTACGAGATAAAGATTAGAATCTTATTCATGCATGAGGAATTTACAACTTTACGCACACATAACATGACACCAAGTTCCGGTGACAGTGATATGCTCCGGTGACACCCAAGATTAAAACCCTCCTTGACGTGATGTGATGCCAAATTCCGTGTAATTCAAGAGTCAGTAGCGGCAGAGATGCACACCGTCGTCGCCGCGTCTTCCTCTTTGAACTCGCATTCAAAAAATCTCTACGTCCTCTTGTCTGCCTGACTTAAGGTCCTCTCTCGGCTGCACTTTCTTCCCATTTCAATGCAACTCACATCCTCGTCGTCGTGGACAATAAAAGAAACGACTCTGCTCACTGACTTTGGCTCTTCCAGTGTCAACGTGTAGAATTGTGATCACTTTTACTCACACGCATGAAGGTCTCGTGCAATTCGAGGGAATGTTGCAGGCCGGTCGGATTCATAATACTACATACACGATATATGTGCATATATTACATATATCTTTTCACATGGGTAAATTCCAGGGGTGGGCAAGATACTTTGGTCGTAAGATACAAGATACAAGATAAGATACTCTCGAAGACAAGATATAAGATACAAGATAAAAGATACATCTTGTTCAAGTACACAAGATACAAGATACAAGATACTTTCCTAAAAATTAAGTATTCAAGATAAAAGTACAAGATATGTATCTTAAGATACTTTTACATTAGATAAGATACTTTCCTTTTTAGCCTGGTATTCATGCTGAATTAGTCATGTTTAATAATTTAAACGAAAAAATCTAGCTAATACTAAATTTAAAATCGTTATGTAATCACCTTACAAATTTTGTTGCAAGTGCCTACGTGTCGAAAAATTTCGAAAAACTATAGACCTATACCATACCTAACATACTTAACCCTATAGTGTCTATAATATCCAAGTTCACGTGGATTTATAATATTTATAATCATACTTTATTCAATATACATCAATTAAGCGTAGGTACATATCACGTACATAATACTGTGCAACGTATGCACATATGCACATGTATGTACACATGAATATATGTCTATATCTACATATGTATGTATGTATGTATTTACCAGGTTTGTCACAAATTGGTAAAACATAAAGTAAAAATTCACCACACTCTGGTTACGACAAATTCATGGTCAAATTGACCGATAGTAGCAAGAAATTGACTTAATTTGTCGGAATTTTTGAAAAAAAGTATCTTGTATCTTGTCAACTATCTAAGATACTTTTCTGACAGTCGTATCTAGATAAGATACTTACACAAGATACTTTTCGATTGTCTAAAAGATACAAGATATAAGATACAAGATACTTCTGTGATCAGGCGACGAAGATACAAGATAAAGATACTATCTTGTATCTTGTATCTTTTATCTTGTATCTTGACAAAGTATCTTGCCCACCCCTGGTAAATTCCACTCTTTCAGCTTTTTATAAATAAAGCTGCCCACTTACACCTTATTCAGAGCAGGATAAAGCCAATTAAAAGTGAAACAAATGAATAATACAAGGATTGTTAACATTTTATAAATCTCGTACACAATAAACTATTGCATTTATGTATGAGGTAGAGAGAGAGAGTTGTTTGATATCCAGCATAATTAATATACATATTTTATCCTTCAGGGCAAATATGAGTTTGTTTTTGAGAGAAACACACAACTGCTCGAAATGCTCTACAACCAATTAATTTGAACATCAAAGAAAGTTGTACAGAATGTTGCTCGCTTCGTTAAGCGTTCTAAATTTTATTTTTAGCATGACGAGTGCCGGACGTAGTTTTACTAGAATTTAATACTACACACATGTATTGTACACAGAAAAACATTCTGAAATAAAGCTTCCTTGCTGTGCCAAACTGTTCACAATATCTGAAGGTTCATTGGATTGGGTTATCTACGTATAGATAATTTATTAGTACAAACGCTTGTTTCTTCCTGTGTTATCGGTTTAAACATGTTCGTATACACATAAATATATAGAAACACTAATATTTAAAGCACTATAAATTAACGATACGCCCCCTGACATTTAACTTATCTTTACATTGCATACTCCAAGATACGAGAATACTTTATTGAAATGTTACATATGTAATATAGTAAAATTCTAGAACGTCGTCCGATCCAAACAATCAATTTATACAAACGTCTAAAAAAACCCAAAATCTTGAAACTATGAAAGTTTGAGTAGCTAGAACTGAAAAAAATGGAAAATGGATATAAACTCAGATGTTACACACCTTACAACAAAAAAGCCCAGACTTTTTAAATCAACCCAAACTCTCAAACTTTGTTGTGGGTTAGGAAATGTCAAAAAGGCTGACGCGACACGATGTTATCACAGCCTTCAACAGCTATCCGGCACTCTCATCATATTTCCTGAATCCATCCACACATGGACTCACTTTACTTTTTAGGAAGCTACTCGTGTAACACGTTTATCGCAGATACACAGGGCCAAAAGATGTGCGGAAACTCGTACAAGTTTTGAGACAGCAGGATCAATGGACCTGAACAAAAGTTGGTTTCGCCTTGCATGAGTTGAGCACCCATAGACGCACACACACACCATCATCTCGATCGCTAGAAAAACATTATTTGAAACGCTGGTTGCCTCAACACAAGGAAACTAAACAGAAAACCAGAAGCTCTGGGACAACGACCATCACCAAATTTCATGAGAACACAGAAGCAAAATTCAATACATTTTATTTAGTGAGGCAACAGCAACAAGAACTATTTGAACGAGGACCTTTGCCCAGTCAAAGCAAACCGGAAGCCGAACTTGACTAAAAGTACTTTAACACACCATGTTCTCCGCTTTGTCCCACTGTGTTCAAACCCTCATTTGACATTTATTTAAGAGCGAGCAGGTCCTATCTCCTCCAACCAACTGGTTTCCGTCCTGCCTTCGTTAGTTTAGTTGGAATGCCACAATCAGATACAAATTCTTTGTTGTTACTCGCCTGTACTCTGAACGAAATCAGATAGTGGACACCGGTATCAATAAATTATGTCATCGTTTCAAAGCAATTTCCCAATTCTTGGGTTTCAATACGACAATTCTTGGTTTGTGTATAGAGAAAGCGTATCCATGTACATATGTACGTAGGATACATACCTTATTGTGCTTTTTTACCAGTACAAAAAATATATATACTGCTGCTTCTTAACCCAGCCTTTCCATTCTGTGAAATATATAAATTAAAGGCCAGTGTTGAAGACCAGTGTTACTCCTCAATGACCGAAGGGGAGATGTTCGGGTCGGATGGAATAAGGGCAACCGACCTTAGAGACTGCTACTACAAATGTTCACAAGTCAAGATAATAATGGTCACCCTCAATGCTTTTCTCGTTGGAAAAGGAAATTCGTGTCGTCCTTATTCCTTTATTCCTTCGATGCCCATTTCTATAATGAATTGGAATTGAATAACTCTGAGAATTTTAAGTCAGCAATGTGACATTGCCTTTTGGACTCCTTCTTCTTCTCGACTTGTCCTTCATACTATTCACACTATTATTATTTCAAAAAACAAGCATAGCAGGAAAAGAAGCATGTTTCGTGAAAAGGGTGCCATTTGGATAAAATACAGACAAATGTTGTGTCATACATACCTCTGTGATGCCGTACTCTGTGTGCGCAACAAGGTGCGTCCAAGTCAGAGTCCCAGGCCAAAGCCATAAGTGGGGCTATTGAAAAGGGACAATGTAAGGCAAGGAGCATCACGAGAACTACACGCAAACAAATGTTCAACATTGTTGCTGAAGGTTGTATATCTTGCTCCGGTTACAAATTTCTGATTTCAATTCTACCCTCGGCAGAAGAAATTTACTTTTGTTGACTAACTTTCTGTCCCTTTTGATTTCTGCGTCCAACTTGTTTTGCAAGCGTAATTGTTAAAATAATCTGATGAATATATAGTTTACGAGATCGGACAGTTGCAACCAAGTATCTATGTTGCTACTTATCGTTGGCTGCATGTGAAATATTCGTCTATATTTCACATTGGTTGTCGTCGGTCTGATGTTATTGTGGGATGTGATGATGAGTACGAATCATGTGACATGGGATGGACCAGCGTAATAATAACCGGTACCACAAAATGAGAATTGTTACTGACATTTGAGCAATGTCTTTTATCTTTTGTTCTTGAGATGTGGCTCGTCGTGCTATGACATACACGTCAGCAGTTGGTTAGAAATACACGATCCAAATTCTGGTCTGGACTCGTCGTTTGCGTCCAACTTCTTTTTTATAGCCAACAGTTTTGAACGTAAAGTTGTGTCGGTTCTCTCTTCCACAATCAATTGGCTCCACACGCTAGGCCACCACGCGCTACTTGGATTCAATGTCTAGTACAATTTCAAGCGGCACAAAAGGAAGGACGTTGACGTTATATTCTTATGTGTGTAAGTGCTCCCTCATTCGCAGGATGCTGGATTTGGAATGATGTGATTTCTCTGCTTTCTCTCCGCAATGTCCAAATCCAAAATCTGACGGCGTGACTACCTTTTTCACTGAATGAATGAATTCGACCAGTAGGCCAGCCGTGGTTGTTGGTGAAGTGGAGGAAAGTGTCACAATTCACTTTTGCTGCTTTATCTTCTTTCAGCAGGGGAGAGTTGGACGATAGCTGGCTGGAGCTGGCTTTTCTTTATATCGTATTGTAAAGTAAGTGTCGGTTTGTGAGCCAAAATTTAAGTAGATTTCGTTGAACGAAACGTCCTCTTATGCCAAAATGACTTATGACTACTTCCGTGGGAAAAGTGTTCCGTTAAGGCTACTTATTCCTTACTTTCAATGGCATCACGTACATAAATAGACATTTGCAATATCGGCCGTCTTTCCTGGATTGATCGTCGCAACTACATACGTGCAAGTTTAACACTCGATTTTCGCACAGATTCCACTGATTTCTTCTCAATTCGATCAAGAAAGGAAATGTCTCCAGTGTGATGTGATCCACTTTACTCTTATGTTCTGCTCTGGAAGGAGGAGGCGGAAAAGGTGTAGAGCATACGGCACATTGGAACTCGCGAATATTACGAATGAGGCAATAAGACGTCAATTGGCAGTTTGAAGTACAAGGGGCTGGCAACTCTTCAAGTGACTTATTTTCGCCTTTCCTTTCTTGCTGCTGTGTCCAAGAAAGGAAAATAAAAACGCCTAGTACAACTACCCTTCTTGAGCAACCAGGGTTGGTGGAAATTTCATAAAATATGGAGTGAAACGACCGACCGCTGTCTATATCCTCCTCCTGAGGAGCTGTGGAACATGAATGTTCTTTTATATATTTTTTATCTCTGGAAAACTGTGGGATTGCGAACTCTCCTGTGGCCTGCGTTATGTAAGTTAGTTTCCAATCTAAGAACCACCACCGAGTTAAAAGGCAGTAATAGACTTTCACACCACGACGCGTACGTAACTTTTGTGTTCTGGATGTACTGCTGTCCTAAAACTAGACCAACATGATTTGCCCTTTGTCTTGAGCCATCCCATTATTCCATTTCATTCAAGAGTCTCAAGTCCCAGTCCATTTCTCCCTTCGCTTGGTTCGAGAATCCGCACACGGAGCTCGTTACTACGTTTTCACTTGTTCACTTGACTGGAGCAGACAGGAGAATGAATGAAAGAATAGAATTTATATCGCGATGGAGACGTGCTGCTGCTGGTCCGATATGGCCACCACTATTATTACCATCTCTCTCACCTTGGAAGACACAAAGTTACATTTCCTGTTGCCTCGCTATACGTATAAACTTACGTATGTAGAAAACCCTGTCGGAATTCCAAGGGAGAAAGCGAGAGAGGAAAAGTGAGAGTCGGAGACAGTCCCAGTTCTAATACATCTTTCTTCCTCCCTTTCTTTTCTCTTGCTTTCTCTCCGTTTCACTTTGATACACAACAGGAGCCAGTCCGTTTTTATTCCATTCTTTTCAATCCTTTTACACTTTTCTCTCAACCAACTTCTCCCACTTTTAGCACGAATACTACTCAGGCTGATGTTGAACCAACTTTACTTTTTCATGTCTGCCTATCTTAATAAAATGTTCGGAGAGGACAGAATGAATGAGTGGACTTCCGTCCAAGTAAAGAGTGCGAAAGAGATTCCTTCTTTTCACTTCACGTGTATCACGAATGCTGCAGAATTAGATTACACTTCGTGACAAAAGACAACCCGTTTCCTGCTCTAATAAAGGACGAGTTTTTCCCAATAAGTCAACATTCACAGTAAAAGACGTCCAAGAAGGGAATTTGATTTCGTTTTCAGCCGACTCGGGGTGTCCGCATTTTTTTAGGAAGAGTCAACTCCAGTTCAGTATTCTGTTACACAGCCAATTCTAAAATACAAATTGAATCAACTCTTCACTTTTAAAACCTTTGATTAAGAACTGGCAAAACTGGAACGGAATTAACGAGGATAAGAAGTGGAAAGTTGAGATCAAAACGAAGGGGAAAAAAGTTGGAACACTTTTGTAAACTTTTCAAGTTTAAGGAGTCCTTTTGCTTTTGACAATTTTCACTTTGAGAACGGCTCTGTCTTGATGTTTTAATTTCATTTGACCGAGCCAAGTAAGTCAGTCGTATAGGACTCGTTGTTGGTAATTAGTGGGGCAGATGTACATCAGTTGCAGTTTAATACGTAAATTTTGGAGGCTCTGCTCTGTGTCTAATTGTTACAATTTACTCGAGGTTTCTTTTGAGAGTCCTTTCAAAGGGCCAAGTTAAGTGCTCTTTGTCTGCCCGTTTTATTTTTTTTAACTTCTTTTAGAAGATTTCAGCCCAAGTTTTGAGATTAATACATACGTACATATTACTACACAAGACTCCAATCGGCGATGGTAGATATCGGAGAGAGTCAAACAGCTGCCAAATGTGGAGATCTTTCTTCGTGAAGAAATGGTGTTAATCTTCTAACAACGGGGGGAGTTGTGCCGTGGAAAATTGAGTCGTAATAAGTTGTAGGTGTTGTTGAAATTTACGTTATTATTATTACGGCTTCACGTTCATTGAAGGCAAACAGATTCCAGCCAAGAATATAATATGTATCGTCTGTCCAACTCTTGTATATCTCACGTGTAATAATATCAAATCTTATCTCTGGAATTTTATACGCTCTACTTTACAACATTATTATCACTTTGATGAAGATTAGACCAAGACTCCGATTCCTTCGTTCGTATGATGCAAGTGGTAAGTATTCAACTTTCGTTAGTCATCTCACATTATTATCACTTCATCACCAAACCGACGCGAGATGTAAGAATAACCCAGTGTTCCGGGCAGTGGTTGTGGTGTTAATAGACCAATTTGAGCTTCAGTGCGCCGACAAGACAAAAATTATCAAGGTGATATTTCTCCTCACTTTTTCGGCTTAACTATCAAGTTGAGATTGGTCGTGTGAAGCGAAATAAATGCGGTATCAAGCCAGACACCACACACCAGAGAAGACGATAGCGAGAGGATTGTGTTCTTTTCCCCGTGAATGAGCAGCCTTCTTTTTCTTAATGATAATCTCCTAGCCTAGCACTCAAATCACGATTCCTTTCAGCGAGAAGAATTTCTGTTGACAAAAACTTGGATATTTTTGTCTAGAATTTCACCCTTTTCCTCAAGAATCCCCACTCGGAGGCAAATATTTTTCGGACTCGGAGAACTTAATCGACGAAGGTTTTTATGATTTAAAGTCTTTTGCAGGTTGATTACGATGATGATACCAGGCTGCACTTTCCTGATACGTGGTGAAGATAAATCAATATTAGTGGGAAGAAGAAGGTGATTGCCTCCAAGAAGACGACGACGAAGAAGAAGATTGGACAACAAAAGCGAGTTGCTTCGTGATGATGATGAAGATGTTACTACTTTTCTGTGGTAGGAATGCTGCTGTTGCTTTGCAAAGGAGAAGATGCGGCTTGAACAAAACAATGAGCAGCGTATGAAATTGTTGATGTGAACTTCCTTTCCTTTCAACTTTTCAAGTTAATTAGCCCTCAGTCAAAAATACGTAGCTTTAAGGTATTGAAAGTAGCATTACAAGGTCTTTGAGGAGATATCCCTTCCAACCAAGCAAATCAACCCGACACGTACTACGTAACACATGCATATACACAATTTCTTGTGGGATAATATCTTGTTCACGTATATCCAGCAGCAGCTTTTAAGAGACTTGTTTTAAAGCTGGGTCAGAATCAGTTTCCTCCGGTGAGGAACACGAGAAGGGTTGAAAGTTCTTTTTGGTTTCGAAGAAAAACAATAATGACCAATAATGATGATGATTTGCTCCGCTGCTTCCCAAACAACCCTGCTGGCTCAAGAATTAGAAGATGAGTGAGTGGAATGTCTCAATTTAAACCACACTTCTTCTTCTCCTTTGCCAAGTCGAACACTTCTGACAGTTCAGTCGTATTTTACCTGAACTCGTACATATGATACACCACGAAGTCGTATTATCTTTATGGAACAAAGTCTGTATCCTTCTCAACACGCACAACAACGGAGTTACGAGAATTGTGAGATGAACTTTGGGAGCTGCGCTCTAAGCACTACAAACAAGTGTGCACCTTTTCTGCGGTACTGCTGGCGTGCAACTGACTGGAGCGAGCTGCGAGCTGGAAAAGGGATTCCGTTCTCCAACCAACAACAAAGCAATCCAACTACTCTCACCATTTCGAAACCTAGTCGTCGTCTCTCTGCCCCAACAGTGCATGTATTCTGCTGCCAGTTGCATGTAGGGTTGGTAAATGGTACACTGTGAGCGTCTCTCTCGGAAGAATTTTGACGACTCTTCTACACAATACATACAGTTCTCTAGTAGGAGAGAGGAAGTTTGCGTTTACTTGGTCCACGGGGGGATTACGTGGTTTCATATGTACACAGTACTCTCTCTGCACCCATTTTCCCTCTCTCTCTCTCTACTCTTCTGCATTTCAAAGAATGACAGCAGCACCCGATTTCCACTCGCACAAACTTAACTTGGTATATTTACCGACGATCTTTACCCACTCATTCATTTTGAGTTTTGTGATTGTTGTGCCGGATGGCCATAAAAAGTGGATGATGGTGGAATATTATGGCGAGGAGATGATATAAGAAGGTGCCTCTGATTGCAGAAGGGGCACATATTTTTTACGCATGCATGCGATGGAGGACATGAGCTGAAGTATCCACACCGTTCTTTAAAACAACATCACAATTTGAAGGATACGCAGAACGAGAAAGAGTTTCCAAACGAAGCTCTTCTTCAACTTTTAGTTAAATATACAAAAGTCACATTTCATTTCTTGGACGACCAACAATCCACAAACTCACCTGCGTATATGTACAGATACGCTGATACAGGACCTATTATACGGTCATGTGGGAGTGATGAGGAGGAATGTGTTGTAGATGAAGATCCACCAACCAACTCGAACTCCCGTCTTGTTCTTGTTTGTGAGGAAGACAGACAACCAGTTTTGTCGGATCTTGCTCGTCCAAGAAGAGAGAAGAAATTATTAAATCTTTTGCTTTTGGGGGAGCTTAACAACACCCCGAGTTCAAATTGTAATCTTTGGTTTGATGCCATCCATGCCTTTGTTTTCTTCTCTACATAGATATTTGGCCGAGGCAGTGGCTTTGCGTTCACGGCAAAGTGTCTGCTTACATATTACTCGTAGTAGTAGAACTATACACTTTTATTCTTAGAGTGGCTTGAATTATGTAGGGTTTCTATAACCCTTGACTTTTACCAGAAATTCTTGAGCTCCCAACCGTTTTCCTCACTCTCAAATGAGAGCTGCTCAACATGAGAGCAAGGAAACAAATATGTATTAAATCTCAAGTAGTAATCCCTTAGTTGGGGTACAAGATGGTATATGGTCATGAACAAAGAAAGACTTTGATGATGGTTACACGAAGGAGCCGCTGCATGGGGATATTCTACGAAATAAATAAGCAATAGATTTCCAATCTGGAAACCCATCTCACCTAAATTGTAATAAATTCGTGGGATTGTCCATTATCTTGAATCATTGCTCGTTACATACATACTAAATATCAAGGTGTATGTATATAAATATACTAAGCTGAAAATATACAAGAACACAACTTATATGCAAAGTCTGTTTTTTGAGACACACGATAACAAAATATCGTATTATCCACTAATAAGTGTCACCCATAAAGAGGTATTTATTGTAGAGAAAATTGAGATTTAGATTGAATGATCAAAACTGCTGGTCTTTGGTCGCTTGTTTGGTAATAGTAATCCGTCGTCCATCAACTCCCATAAATGAGAATGATGCCAGGTGTAACCGAGCAAGTACGTTGAAAATAAGTCATTATCCTACTTATTATTACAATTAGGGGCTGGAAACCGTAATACGACCAAGCCAACTGCTTAATAAAAATGTAGTATGTGTGCATGCATCCAGATGCGGGTAAGTTTGGTTGATAACATGAGCACAGAACTCTTGGGCCCCTATACACACACGTATGTACATTTCCCCTCATGTCTCATTTTATTGTGTTGATCGACTTTTGGAGTAGAAAAGCAAAGTGCAGTGAAGTAAACGGCTGGGTAAATTTTATGATGTATGAAAAAAGTTAGATAATAACATAATCAATGGTAATTTGCTGTACTTGAGGGAAAGGTGCATATAGTGGACCTATTATTCACATAGGTACGTGTACCCATGTAGTTGATATATTGCGACGACTGCATGCTGAACATCATGCATTACCTGCAGTACATACAATGGGCGGATGGAGAGACTTTTTGCCCTCGTAACATCCCTTGAAAACCTCCACGCACTTCACCAGCCAGCGGCGAATGTCCAACCTTGTTCTCCCGTTGTTGCCTTAAATTTACTTTTTTGGGCAACTTCTCACTTTTCAACCTAAATCAACCCTCCACCACCTCAAAAAGTGATGGTATGTGCTTAAAGCAAAAAAAAATATCAAGTCAGAATGCAGAGTTACATGGAACTAAAAGCAGAATAGAATAGCCCAACAAAGCTTTGGATCAGTAATCCTTACTCGCGTAGCCTTCACTCACAACTGTACATACGTTTTATTTATTTCACGTCCGTCTCCGTACGTAAGATTTTAATTAAGAAATTTCTTTCTCAATAGGATTGGACATGAGGGCAGCAATTATATTTCTTCAACTGCACACCCATCATCATCACCATCCGTTTGGTCAAAATATGATGAGTCAATTTCATTTTGATCCAGTGGAGAATCGTAAAAGAAGGAACTAAAATTTTATACTCCGTGTTTTAGAAATATTCTTTGACTGACCTGAAATCAAAATTAGAATCTCAAAATGTGTCGAAATCAAAATATAATAACTTTTAGTTCAAGGTTTTCTGACTTTTATTTAAATGTTATGTTGGTACGATGAAAAAAAAATAAATGAGAAAGTAAAGTAAATATGTAAATACTAGTACACGGAGACAAGTTTTATTTCTTCCTCGTGTGTGATTCTCTAATTTTTATTGTAATTTCATTCCGGAATGAAACAGGATTTAGAGACAATCTACTTTTTGCGACAGCTCAAACATCATCATCATCAATGCAGGAGATTTAAATGCACGCTTCAACGCCAACAAGAGATGAAAACATGTTTCTTGAGTAAAATATGTACAAGAATCAAGATACAAAGACAAGTACCTGCCATCCTGTGCTCGTATGCACAAGATTTTATAAGTACCCGCCCAACGCAATGGTTTTCGAAGATCCAGATTCATCATCATCATCTTCCAGTGTCCAGGGCGTTGGTTGGTCATGCATGTATTTCAAAACTTGTAATGTGTATAGTAATGACTGACAGACTAATCTCATACCAACATGTTTTATGTCATGGCTGCTAAAACTTTGATGTTCACTCGCAGTACATGTTAGTTCAAACTTTGATTCCGGCTGGATGTGAATTCTTTCACCAAATGAACACGTTTATGTTTACTGCATGTAACAAAGCCATAAAATATTGTAATGATCGAAATCATCAACTTCAACATCAGCTTGGTGGATGGATGTGCGGAGATGAAGCATTTATCGGGACGGCTGTTGCATCATAACTTCAAACTTTTGTATTTATCAGGTTTATTCCTAATAACTCCTCGTGTTGGGTCATCACCAAAAACTTTCTCATAATCCCCTCGCTGCCTTTATGTTGGTTGTAATACCTAAAGTTTTTTCTCCGCATCTTCCTGATTCTTTGGCTTGAGTTGCAGGTATTCATTAAATGAATACCACATGTATTTAACAAGATTGGTTGTAAAAAGCAAGGTGACCTTGTCATTAATACTTTCAGAATTTCAAGTGACAGCGAATGCACTTGAAGAGAGCTCACAATTACTGTCATCCATTTCCTCCACCTCAGTCCTCAGTATTACGCTATCAACGAACCATATTAGCATATGAATACGGGAAATAAATATAAAAATGAATGGATAATCAAATCAAATCAGTCTTTTCACAAAATCCTTTCCAACCTGCAACTGCAAGATGCTTTTCGGTAATCGGGAGTGGTAAATTTTAATGATGATACGACCATAGTCGTTTCCAGTGACAGCCATTACATGATTTCTGTCGACTGGCAGACAGGATGACATCCCAATCTATGTAAATAGGTGTGGGAGCAAGGTTTCCTCCACGTACATCCACCCAGCCGTCTTCACTCAATGCACTCTCTTCTCCTTGACAAAGTTAACAAAAGGAAATATGCATGATGACTTTATACATATCTCGACGTATGTGCATGTGTACATGAACTATTGCATACCTTCTCGGATTTTATACAAAAAATACAGTTTAGAAATGTAAAACGATGTGAGGTAAGAGGGAGAGCAGTGGGCGAATGATACGCAGTGTTTGTAAATTGTAAGGACGACGAAGAAGGGGAAGAATATATTGAGACTAGAGATTGGAGAAAACTATATCAATGCAGCCTATTCATGGCGTGTTCAAGTTCACGATCACTGCATGAAGAGCTGATTTTCTGTGAATTTTCTTTGTAAATCTTTTCCTCACATTATGTCATTGAAAATTCAACCACCGCTTAAATATGCAATTTCATAGAAGGCTGGTCGAAAGCTATCTACTGAAACATGACAAAAACCTGCCGAGTGTACGCTACAGGAATATTACTTTCCTTCGTATGCACTCGTTCATAATTCAGTTCACATTTTTGTCCGACAAAGTCGAAGACTTTGAATTCCATGCACTCTAATCTCACAAGTGCATCCGCCTCTGCGCATATGAAAAAAGCAAAAATCAGAAATAAAAGTGGACAGAGAAAAGTTTTCCTCAACTTTGGAAATAGAAGACAGGCGTAAAACGATGCGTAAAAGAAATGGCCAGAATGTTGTTTGATATCTCACTTCCAAGTTGAAGCAGATATTCAAGCTTCACTCACAAAGAAAGTACATAACCAAAGTTTCTTGGACAAGTGCGTGCAATTCAAAATATATGTAGTTGGGAAGACATACATATGCGTAGTATATGTGTGTGCAGAGATGTACATATATGCGTAGAACTGTTTAACCGATGGTATTCAACAATCGTATTCTCAGGCTACAAACAGCATTTGACGACTATGGGGATTGGTCCACAATCGTTGCAATCGTTTCTCATCTCACCACCCTCACACTCCTGGATTACCAGGATACTCACTTTAGTTGAGCCAGAGAGAGACCATCCAAGTTATCCTCGCATCTGATCCCGACCAAACTGACCATTTTTCCAAAACCACCACTGCTTCCCTTTGGCCAAATCCGTTTCTCGATTTTACATACGATTGCACTCTGAGAATGCTTTCTAAAAAAAGAAATGAGACGCCAAAGAGTTTGATGGATGCAATATCTTTGGATGGATTTAGAGTTCTGAACCGAAACCGTTTCTGGCATTCATAGTTCTGAATAGGGTACTTTGTTCTGGTGGTCAGTCTGCCAAAAAAGAAAGGTAATGGGCAATAGTTCAGGGGCTAAAGCGCATCATTATTCAATTTGACATGAAATGCCATTCCATGAGAAACGCTCCTCTTTACTCCGAATCGGTTATACGCAACGACAAGTCGTCCTTGGATAAATGATGTTTTTAGCATTGAAATGATGCATATTACATATTTGTACGTGTCGTGTTAGAACAAGAACATAAAATTTATTATTCTAATGACAACTATGCTCAGTGAGTATTACTCACGCGTTACCAAATCTCGCTTTGCAAAAATATGTTTAAATGAAATTTATGAATTTATGTACATACGTGTAGTAAATTACTGAATCCATTTTCCATGAATTATCAAAGTAATGATATCAAGGAACTTCTCCAAGTATGTATGTATACCAATCTACACATGCATTGTACATAACAACATCGTACTGACTTTTTCATGACATGATTTTGCTTTCGACTTATTTCCGTCAGAAATTTTTTATTCCAACAAAAAAAAACATTATCACCCTCCGAAATGTCGATTCGCTTGTGAATGTACATATATGTATGGAGGCATGTGGATGTTCTTGTAATGGGAAAGCAGACCTTTTCTTAACACATTGGACTTTCCACATTAATGTTGAACTGAATCTGACCCTAGAAACTCTGACTGAATTTTACTGACATTCGAATTCATCAGGGATAAAGAAGCCCTAGTGGAATAACCGCAACCGGAGAAGATAACCACAAAGACTGAGGAAGACAATGATCCACTATACGCACGATCAGTGTTGGCTATAGTGCTGCTTGCTGCCCTTCACTCCCATTTTCCAAGTGCCTTGTAAAATCCGCTTCGAATTGTCTACACAGAAGGAAGAAGCTGAAAAGTAAGGAAGCAAATGACTGAGCTCATCTATAAATGATGAGAGGTCATAAATACAAAATGGAAACTTCAAATGGCCAGATTATCTCATATATCTTCCTTGCTCCACAGACACATTCAACTCTTTTCTCCACAAATTGTCGGCTCAGCTTCTACATTATGCACGGCACTCGCACTTCTTCGCAACTTTTCTTATTCCTCGGGATTTAACAACACAAAGTCGCCGCCGGCTGCTTCTGTCACCTCGCTTTATCATATTTGCTAATTTAATTTCTTTTACATTTATAATTTATTTACATAAATAATACATGTTACTCGCCCATCATGTATGCCTCCGACTCGGAATGAGTAGCTCGAAACAAATGTAATTTATCCCTCTACAAATTTAATGTCTCTTTTTAATGCCATCCATAAACAGAATATCACATAAAGTGTCTTGAAAAGCTGTTAAAATGCATATTTAAAAAGAATAACAACACAATTGGAAGTTCTAAGTGGCTTTTGAAAGTGGGAGACGTAAAATGTGGTTTGGAAAGGAAACATTATATCCCCCACGCGAGGTGACTCAAATGGAAGAGCCTCTCACAAAGTCGTGGGGTTTTAAAGTCGTCCACAAGGTTAGGTGGACTGGATATGTGATCTTGTGAGTAAATTCTCCCTCGCTTTGTGTCGACTTCTAACAGGAAACTCGGTAGCAGGGAGTGTCATTTCATATAGCTTTTGAAATAAAATACGTATGTCTGCAAGTATGTATTTGTCATCCCTGTTGGCCATGGGATGCATCATACTATCAACAATTTACACATCCTTGGCTTGCTTCCTATACATATTCAGGCAAGACATATATATACATAACTTTGTAGCGTTTAATTTTATACCTTTTATACCAATACCCAATCTCCCTTCTTCCTAATCATCATCACGAATGGAAATGGGGGACTGATGAAGATGAAAAGGGTTGAAGTTCTCGGCTCTTATTCAACAGACACAAACATACACACCTCACATTGCATCATGATTACTGAAGAATGATTACATAAAACCTGGTTGACGAGAGGTGTGTGACTTTGGTGTATCTGAATACGACGTCTCTCTGCCTGGATATGTACATGTGTATGCATGTTATGTATAGCAGTGCACAGCTTGAGAATCAAATTTCAAACAAAGTGTTGAAACGCAAAACACCTCAGTTTCTGTTGGACCGGATAGAATCAGCCTGAGAAGCACTGATTATGTACGTACACAGTAATTAAAGAAGGGTGTAGGCTGTGAACTGACTCAGGCATAAAATCAGACGAGCTCAGTCAGCTCTGGTGTCATCTGAGGAGTCCAATGTGGTAGATAGCCTTAAATGATATTCCTAGTGGCCTTCGCGTTTTGTAGCAGCACCTCATTTTATCTGCATTTACAACATTTGCGACACTGGCTTCTACACTTGCTTTAAATAAATGCCAGCAGTACTGGAGATGAAACATGGCAAGTTGACACTGGTGGTCTCTCTTATTCCCACTGTCTCACCTAAACCAACAAAACGAACATGTTCTCCTCTCTTCTCTCCCTCTCTCTTTGTGCAGCAGGACGGGGACACTAGACCGTGTGAATTGTGAATAAACTTTGAAGGA